AGCACCTTCGTCCCTTCGAATATGGTCTCACTCTTCCCACAGCCCACAGCACAGGTAGAATTTAGCTGCGGGCACCAGAGCCTGCCTCATGGAGAAGCCCTCACGATTCCCTGTGCTCTGTTTCTTTAACATCCATGAAGCACAAAGGTGTCCCCCAAATCGCCTTGATTTGGACACCTGCGGGATCTCTCCTCTCAGGTTCACCACCTACAGCCACACCTCCCCCACTCCACTTCTCTTTGACCGTTCCCACAGCCAGGGACAAGGGACACTCAGCCTGCCTCAGTCCTGTGGGACTCCCACCACCTGGGCCAACCCCACATGCCCCGCCTCCAGCGGCGCAAGGATCCCCTCACATTCTCTCCCTCCTCTGGAGAGCAGAGCCTTTTAGCCTTGGCAGGCATGACCTGCACGTCCTTCCCCAGCCACCCGGCAGGAAGGCAATTAAAAATTCATGGACAGAAAATGCCCAGCGCAATGTTTCCTCTCGATCCTGGCAGAGCAGAGCAAATTCTCGGAAAGCCTCCGAAAGAAGGCTGTAATTGTGAGCACAGCCCGTGTAGCCCCTGGCGCTCGAACATCGACCGGTGGGCCTATTCTGACGCTGTCCCAGAGGTCCCAAATTTAAAATTGCCATTGTGGTGTTGAAAAGACTATGCCTTTCAAAGCTGTTTTTTTAATGAAACTTTTTTGTTTGAGATCATCGTAGATTCACACGCATGCAGCTGTAAGAAATAATAGGAATAGGAAGGGCCTGTGTACCCTTGACCCATTTCCCCAAGGGTATCATCTCCCCAAACTACAATACAATCTCCCAACGAGGATGCTGACACGGATATAGTCAAGATACAGAACATTTCCATCACCACAGGGATCCCTCGCGTTGCCCTTTTATGGCCACTTCTCTCACTTCTCCCCTGCTCCCACCCCTTCCTTAATTCTCGGCAACCACAAATCTGTTCTCCATTTCCATAATTTCGTCATTTCGGGAAACCTAGGGTAGAAAACCTCTGGAACTGGCTTTTCATCACTCAGCATAATGCTCTACAGATTCTTCCAGGTTGCTGCCCACGTCGACAGTGCGTTCCTTAGTGTCCCATGGCGCGGATGTGCCGCTGCTTGTTTACTCACTTGTTGAAGGGCATCTGGGCTGGTTCCAGTTTGGGGTTATTACAAACAAAGCTGCTATAAGCATTCACGTGCACGTTCTTGTGCAGACGTAAATGCCCGAGAATTTAATTGCTGTCATATGGTAGTTACACGCTTAGTTTTTTTTTAGAAACTGCCAAATCATTTTCCAGGGTCACTGTACCGTTTACCTTTGTCGTTTTACAGTTCGAGTGAAATATAGAAAACTTATTCTCCTTTACATTATTTTACCCTCCTCCACTTTGAGAAAACTTATTCTCCTTTACATTATTTTACCCTCCCCCACTTTCAATATAATTGTCTTAAATATTTCCTGTATGTACATTTAGAACAATATAATTGTCTTAAATATTTCCTCTATGTACATTTAGAACGACATCAGACCATGTTGTAATTTTTGCTTCAAGTATTAAACATAATTTAGAAAATTCTAAAGGGAAGACAGTCTATCGTTTTTACCTATATTTTTGTTTGCCATGTTCTTTCCTTCCTGATGTTCTGTTTCCTTCTTTTATTGTTTCCTTTCTGTTTAAATAACTACCTTTACCCTTTCTTTTAGGGTAGGTCTACTGGTGACAAATCCTCTTTATTTTCCTTTGAAAATATCCTGATTTCCCCTTCATTCCCAAAGAATATTTTCACTCGATATAGAATCCTGACTTGAGGGCTCTTTTCTCTGGGCATTTGAAAACTGTCGTGCCACTTCTTCCTGGCCTCCATGGTTCTTGACGAGAAATATGCTGTCATTTATGTCATTTTGGCCTTATAGGTAAGGTGTTCTTTCTCTCTCACTACCTTCGAAATTTTTTTGTCTTTAGTTTTCAGAAGATTGACTACGATGAGTCTTGGGATCGATTTCTTTGGGCATATTCTCTTTGGAGTTCGCTCAGCTTCTTGAACCTATAGGACTTTAAATACTTTTTCAGCTCCAGCCTCCTTTCCTTCTTCTTCTCAGACCCTAATGACGGAGAAGATGTTAGATCTTTTGTTCTAGCCCCACAGGTCCTTGAGGCCCTGCGCGTTTATTTTTCAGTCCATTTTCTCTGTGTGGGTCAGATTGGCTAGCATCGATTATGCTATGTTCCTGTTCACTGTTGAGCCTATCCTTTGACATTTTTCATTTTGGTTATTATATTTTTCAGTTTTCAAATTTCCATTTGGTTCTTCTTTATATCTTCTATTTCTTTGCTGAGACTTGTTCTTTTCATTTGTTTAATGCATGTTCGTAATGGTTGGATTTTTTTTATTATGGCTGGTTTAAAACCTTTGTCAGATAATTCTAACGTCTGTTACCTCAGCGTTGGCACCTTTTTTCCTTTAGTTTGAGATCTCCTGGTTCTTGGTAGGATGAGTGATTTTTGATTGAAACCTGGACATTTTGTATTATGTGATGAGGCTAGATCTTATTTAAACTTCTGTTTTAATTGGTTTTCTATGACATCATTCCAGCAGGGGAACAGTGGGGTGCTGCCTCACCACTGATGGGGGGAGGGAGGCGCATGACTCTCCACTCTGATACCCAGGGCCACAAGCTCTGATACCCAAGGCCACAAGCTCTTCATTACTGCTGGGCAGCAGTGCAAGTTGAGGCTCCTCCATGGCCTCAGCTGACACTGTGATGGGGGTGGGCTTGTTCTCACTGGGCAGTGGTGTCCCCACTGGCCCTGTGGGCAGGAGGGGGGCCTTGTGACTGGCTGGGGGTGAGGAGAAAGCCCCAGCCCTCTAGTCGGCCTCCTCAGGCACCACCTCAAATACAAGAGGGAGGAGAGATGCCTCGTGACAGCCTGGCAAGGGTGAGTCCAGTCTCCCCACTCAGCCTCTGTTGGCAGGGCCGGCCTTCCCTGTGCTGTTTGGCTGTAGTACAGCAGTTATTGTCTAAAAGTTTTCTGCCTTGTTAGGCTGGCCTTTTTTTCATCCTTTGGCTAGAGAGAGCAGGGGTTTGGTTTTGTTTTGTTTTAATGTCTGCTCCTTTTGGCATTTCTGGGTTGTTGGCTTCCTTAGCTCCAAATCTGATATATATGAGGCAGAAAAAAAAAAAAAAAAAGACAGGGACCTTACCATGCTATTGCTTAGGTCTCAAGGCCCTAGCCAGTCTGCCCTCTCTCCATCTTCCAGAGTCTTCCTATGTTTGTTTTATATATAATGTCTCAGGGTTTTGTTGTACTTAGAAGAATAGGGGAAAGTGCACCTACTCCATCTCCCCAGAAGCACAAGTCCTGTATTTTTAACATTCAAGAAGTTTATAGACATAATGTCCACGGTTTCTGCTACTAATTCCCTGGTAGAAATGCTAGGTACTTGGTTAGGTCCTTGAGATATGAATGAATTCCTTCTTGAGGTAAAATGTGATTTAGCCCTTGTTTTTATTGGTGATGTTGTGCAAGAATATTTCTGTGTTCCCCTCAGAAACTTCAGAGGAACTGGCATGTGATTAAAAAAATAAATAAGCAAATCTTTTTCTTTCTCTTCTTCAGAAGATATTGAAAGCCAGAATCTAGAGGTTATAAGCAAACACACAAACAAATTTCCAATGGATGAGACAAAAAATGAACAAATGCATGACTGAATTTTACACCCACACACACATACACACACATTCATTCATTCATCGCTCACATTGAGGAGTGTATGTAGAGAAGACCCCTTAATCCCTGTGCCTGAAGAATCATCATTTTTTTTTTTTTATGGCCCCCTCTGGTCCCAGCTCTTCAATGAGGAAGGGGCTCAGGCTCTTCAGCCGGGCTGAGGAACAGATGAGTGAGTGTTTAGCACCTATTCTGTGCCAGGAACATACTAGATGCTTTATATGTTTTTCCTCATTTTGTGAATCCTCTTGACCTCCCTGCAGGTGTTTTATTATAGTTATTTTTCAGATGAGAAACTAAAGTTCACAGCTAAGGAGTAGCAGGCCTAGGATTTTAACTCAGGTCTGCCCAAATCCAAAGCTTGTGCTCATGTAAGGCCGATTCTTTGGGGGTATTTCTATCTCCATTTCAGAGATAAGGAAAATGTTTCTATTACATTCTGCAAACTCCTTGAGGCAGGCTATGAGGCCACGGCCTCACGGGAGGGGAGATAGAAGCGCTATGCAGGGAATGACAGGCAAATCATGCTGTGTCCCTGATGTCACAGGCCCCTCTCCCACCAGGGTGATTTTCTATAAGGCAGACCAATGGGACCACAAAGGCCAGCAGGGAATCATTATGAATGGCAGCCAGCTGTGGAAGAGGAAGGTGTCCGTCTTGTCTGTTTCGTGGGGTGACTACCTTCTAAGGATCTGCTTTTCTCCCTCCCCTGTTGCCTCCCTGATTCCCTTCCTAGCTGCCAACAGGATGAGGTTCCTCCCACTGTAGGCCCACACTCTCAGTCCATCCAGAGGGACAGCTCTGGTGAAGAAGGGCCAGATCCAAAGACCTCGGGGGGATGGGGAAAGGCAATGGTAACTTCCTTGCTTTTAACTAGCAGAACAAAGTGTCTTTTCCAAAAGCCAGGGAGACTGTGCTTTTCGCTTGGGCCTGTGATAATGCTATCTAATTAGATTTTCTGGCAAATAAAAAAGTCACCAGACTCAAGGAGAAAACAGTCTTCTCCTAAGCTAGAGAATGCTGTCATGATCTGAATTTGGCTAGAGAAGTAACGTCCAAAAAGTGATTTCATTCAGAAGAAAAAAAAAAGTGCCTAAAAGGGGAACATGACTGAATACTGAGAATCTATCCCTGCAAAAAGGGACAAGGTACAGCCAAGGATGGTCACGGGACCTGCAATGGAGCAGGCACATAAACATCTGTATGAAGGAAACAAAGCCTTCATGTAGTGGTAGAAGAAGCCTATGTGGATGAAATCAACTGCTCTTTATTTTGTTTCATCAGTTTTATTGGTCATTTATCTAGAATTCAATTTATAAATCTTTGAAAATAACTAGCTTTTATAAGAATAGTTTACAATTCAGCTCTGACTACACAAATACTTGACACAGGAAAACATTTTTACAAATACATATGTTTTCTTATAAGAATACTTTAATAAAGAAATGTCTCTATACAACTTACAGCAAATTTTATGCATTTTTTCCTCATTCAATCATCACCTCAGGTTTTCTGTCAGAGAAATGTCCATCACATCCAATAACCAAATTACAATTTGCTACTGCTTCTCATTTTCAACTACTATTGAGGTTCATACTGTTAAAGTTTTTAGAATTCTTTTTCTAATCATTCCTAATTGTGTATTTAGGCTAAAAGAGGTAATTTTAAAAACATTCCTTCTAAATATAACTTATAGCAGGTGAATGATCTTTTCACTTCTCACTTAGGCTAGAGCAGCTAGTAGTTTTACCCCTGCTGTATCAAGCAGAAAAGATAAACCCTTACATTCCTAACAGTTTCTAAACTGCAAAAACAAAACTCTAGAAATAAGAGTTAAATACAAATATTAGGAAAGCTAAAACATTTGCTATTGATTAGAGAATACTTTTAAATTCAAGGTCTCTCCCAGGTTGAAGAAGACATGAAAGAAATAAAGTATTAAGGATGTGGCAGTAGTTCTATAAAATACTGAAAAACTGAAAAAGGTCAATCAGTTAGGTCAGTGGTATATCATAGCCAAAGCACCAAAGATACAGACTCATGGCTAGCTGAACTCAATATCTGACAGTTGTCTTATGCTGTGGCTTTGAAATAGCCTAATCGGTACTCACTTGCCCAAAGCAAGCAATCATTTAGGCCAGGGAAACTTTAACAGAACACTGACCATGTTTACCTGAAGAGATGGGACCCCCAAGGGGAAACATTTGGCATTCATTACATTCCTTCACTGTTACTGAAAAGTGTGTCCACTTGGCAAAGCCTGTCTTACTTTTCAAGTAGCATGAATTAAAACCAAGAGACTAGCAGTATTCCACAGTCATGTTCCTGAGTACTCAGCTCCAATTATACAAGATTCTTAAAAAGATTCTTTAATGAAGCCCTTGTGCAACAGGAGGTGTAACAGTACGTGAGAACTACAACATGTCCCATTTCTCTTCTCTAATTTCTCTTGATTTCTCTTTCTCACCCCAGTGTAACAATTGCTACAGGTTCTTGCCAAAATACTTCGGCAGTAGTTGGAAATGAGTCATTTTGCATTACCAAACGAACGTGTTCAATCACATTATAACAGGTCACATTTGCATAATAACTAGGAGATGGCCAAATAATGTCTACTGCAGTGATTTTGCAAACTCAGCATAGTCGATGTATCCATCATTGTTCTTGTCGTCGTCCCTCAAAACACCATCTATTAAGTTAATCAGTTCCTCTTCACTCATTGGTGGTGCCTGTTCATTCCCTTCCTGCAAAATATAAATTAAACACTGATGAGTTGCACATTTTACTGGAAGTGCTTAGCTAAATTTCCAAAATGTCCAAGCTGTTATGTGTCCAATAACTCCTTCAATGTAATATGTGGCTACTCCTAGGACTCCACAAACCATATATCAGATACAGAGCCAATTCATAATAATCCAATTTAGAAATTATATTCACCAGTTAAAAGAAAGAAGCGATCAAAGTAGGCCCTTGCTTATTTATTTTGAAAAGGACTTTTCATCTTTTTCTAATGACAAAAGCCATACATGGTCACTGTAGGAGGCTAGGTCTGGCTTACACAGAATTATGTGTTTCATAGATTCCATGACCCACACAAGAAAAGCTCACAGCCCAGGCCCTTCCGAGGGTCAGCTCTGGGCACAATCTGCCCTGATAAAGTAGAATCAGCCTGCACTGGACAACATTTTGGCATCAGAACAAGAGGGAGAAGGCACTGCCGGCCAGTAGAACCTGTTGATCTTTGAAGTGAAGGTGCTTCTCCGGCTCCAGAGGCAGGTGCAGCAGGGCTTCCCGTGTCAAGTGCTAAGCTAATGCTGTTCGTGTGCCCGACTGACTCTTCCTTCCGCACCTCTCCCTCGTCCACCCTCTCCTCTCCTGTCGCCACCACCACCCTCGCCTGCCACAATGCTGAATCCCAGCTCCTCTCCCTGAGGCCAGTCTCCTGTCACATCCATCAGTCAGCCTCCTACAGCCAAGGATCTTCCTGTACAGAGCTGTTAGCGTGCTCCACTGCTTTCAAAGCAAACTCAGACCTCCTCTCCCGGGCAGCCGATGTGATCACACCGACCTCACCAGCTCTGCCTCTCCTCCTCTACACTGCAGTGTAGCAGAGCAGGACAGACACAAGATCTGGAAACAAAGGATCTCGATGTCAGTTTTCTCACCTCTAAAATCAGGGTAACGACAAGCTCTGGCCCTGCCTACTCACAGGCTGTTGCAAAGATCAAATGAGATCTCTAACCTACTTGAAAGTGCTCTGTAAACTGCTTTGTTCAGAGTACTGAACTCAATTACTGCTGAGTCCCTCGATCCCAATTCTCCATTCCTCTCAAATAAATAACTTGTTCCCTGCTCTGCATTTTGAATGTGATCTGTCTTTTAGGCACTGGTTCTCAAACTCCGTGTGCAGCAGAACTGCCTGTAGCACTTGTTAAAGACACAAGGCCCAGGGGCTTCTGCCTTAGCAGGTCACCCTTTGCAACAAGGACCACTGAACAGGAAGAGACAGAACAAAGCGGTGAGCAGAAAAAGGAGAAGCAGCAATATCACTGCACAAGGACAGCACGAGTCATCAAGACTGGGGACTGAATTATCAAAGGGAGGCCTTTCTGAGATGCTGCCCACTGCGCCGCAGCCTGACCTACCTCCTTATGGACATGAGTGATGGCTGTAGAGAGTTCTAGGCCGTCAAGCAAATTATTGCCGTCATAATCATGCATTTTGAAATAATGGAGCTGCAGTTCTTGTGGGGACATCTCCGCCTCTGGTTTGTTGATGACACCTTCTAGATGTTCCATGATATGCCTAAAAACCAATAGTTACACTCAGACCACTTGGCAGCGACAGTGGGATCATATTGAAACCTTAAGGACTCTGAAAAGTTTAAGATCTGAAACTTTATCCACCCCAGAAAAAAATACAGAAACGGTGGCAGGCCACACTCAAGGATGATATAGGTAAGGCCACAAAAGGAGCAGGGAAAATAAATCAAACAGTGTATCTGTTATGCTGGCAAGATTACACAGTGTTTTTTTTCCTCTTTATTATTAGAATGTTGTTATGACAATTTTTGAGGCTATCAATTAAAAAAAAGAACTTTTTGAAAATAATTCAAGGATAACAGAGTATAATGTGTAAGGCTAGCTGGCCCATGACAAAAGTCACAACAAATGATTCAATGCTTGAATGTACCAATAAAAAAATAAAAAGGTCCTGTCAGAGTCAAAAAACCTCAGCTCTATTCTGAATTCTGCCAGTACTACTGTGTGTGCATGTGTGCATGCGTGCATCTGTCTGTTTGTGGTGAAAGACAGAATGAATCTAGGCAAGTAATTTATCCCGTTAGGGCCTCAAGATCCTCCATCTGTGATATGATGATGAAAAAGGAGTACCTGAATCACATGTGGCTCTAAGGAATAAATATCATCCTTGAAAAATGTCAAGGAGTAAAAATAGTAGAAGGAAAAGAAGACCGAGGGAACCACTGCAGCTGGCGGCAGCTATGGAGAAGGAAAGACCCCTGGCCCACAGCCCTGGCTGAATACGTACTCTTGGTCGTGCACTGTGTTCTTATCCAGGCCCACGCTGCCAGGATGGGAGGAGCTGGCCCCAGGCTCATGGGCCTTGGCACCTGGGGCAGAGAAGGCCCAGAGTAGGCCCCACAGGAAGGGGGTTCTGAGCAGCTGCAGAGATCTCATGGTCACCGGTACCTGGGAGGTGGGGAACATAGAAGATGAAGGTGCGAACACCAGAGCGAAGGCTCCTTCAAGACTCGACACAGGATACTCATGGGAACCCCAATGAAAGAGCAAGGTTAGGGAAGAGAATACGTCAAACTGGGCCAGAGGCCAACTCTGCCACTAGACCACAGGATGACCTTGGGTATTCCAGGTCCCCACCACTCACATGAGTGGATCCACGACATCTCCTGTAGCACCTTCAGGATGCCAAGCAACTCACTGACAGCTTAAAGGGATTTGAAGATCAGTCCTTCCTACAAGAAGCTTACAGTCTGGTGAGAGAAATGCTTCCTACTGAGAGCGCTAATAAGGGCAGGAAGTGAGGTGTACTAAAGAAGATAGACCTTATGAGAGTTCGCAGAAGGCAATTTCCTCTGGGTGAGGCAAAAATCAGAGAAGGCTGACAGATGTGGGGACAAGTCGGCTGGGCCTGAACAGATGGGTGTGCTGTGGATGTGCAGGGACTGAAGGACTAAAGGAATGGTGCAAGCAGAGTGGGAAAGAAACTCCAAGTGGTGTAGTCGGGCTGGAGCCCAGAGAGTATGAAGTAGGCAGGACAGTGGACAACAGGCTGCAGAGGTTGACCAAGCAACACTGGGCATGACTTTGCATGGTAGGCCAAGGGGATTGAAGTTTCCTAAAGATAAATGAGGAGCTAATGAATGGGAGATGAGGTTGGAGCTTGGTTTCTGAATGGCTCATCTGGCAGCAGGGAAGGTATTTAGTGGAGCAAGGGCAGATGAGAAAAAGGATAAGGTGGGTCAGTTCAAGGCCAGCACAGAGAAGAGGACATTAACCCCTGCCTCGCTCATCTCCCAGGGCTGTGACAGAGGCAAGTAACTTAACTACTGTAAAAGAGCATTGGCACAGAGAGAAACATAGAAATTAGGATTCCAACAAATACTCCTGCAGTTTGGCTAGACCTGGAACTGTAGTCAACAACAGGAAGACACAGTCAGCTACACAGCAAGCTCCCTGAGGGCAGGAGTGCTTTGTTCCCATCAGTATTCCCCACCAAGGCTCAGGCAGGCCTTTACTAACTGATGGTTAAACTGAATGTTCTGGTCCTTCCTGGGGCTTATGGACCACCTTTAAAAGGAAAGGGAAGGACAGCCAGGAGGCCTCCACTCCAACACCAGGAAAAGCCCTGACTTAAGCATTCACTTCCTAAAAGGCAGCAAAGATGCTGCTGGATAACAAGGACCAGTGATTTCTAAGGGGACAACTATAGCCACAGCTCCAAGCCTATAACAGTAAAAAGAAAGCATAGGGTACAGGTTGTCCCCTTACACACACTACACAGAATTCAGCTCCAAAGCTGCCACCAACTCACCATCTCTACTCCCTGTACCTAAACTGGGAAGCAGATGTGTTGCGGCCCCCTCAACCAACCTAAAAGGCTCTGCAGAGCAGGACCCTGGGAGAATGCCAAACCCACTTTGCCTAACAGCTTTATCACCTTCCATAGTCCCTTCCCTAAGGGAACAACAGTCACTGGGATATAATTTTAAGGGTGCAAAAATATATAATTTTTAGGGTGCAAAAAGCAGTGGGTAGTCTTACTACTGAACAGGGATATCCTAATGCAATCTGTCATACTTAATAACAGGAAAAGATGTTCATTACATATCAAACAAAAAAGAACAGGCTGCAAAAGTTTGTAAAAAATAATTCACGGTGAATATACAACTCAATATGTATATGCCTTACTGTTGAATTGTACACCTGAAACTTACTGGATTTCGTTAACCAATGTCACCATAATAAAAACAAACAAACAAATAAAAGCTTAAAAAATAAAATATAAAAAAGAAAAAATTCACTTTTGTAAAAAAGAACGTATGTGTATTTCACACACACATCAACTGAAAACAAAGATTATCTTCTGAGTCATGAGATTAGGAGTGATTTTGATTTTTCTTTTTACTTTTCTAATGCTTCTAAAAGTTCTACTATAAACATGTTTTTTTCCTTACAAATATGTATTTGATGTAATTTGTCCCATAATTTTGTTCCAATGCTATATGAATGGAATAAAAAAGGGGCTTCCAGTTCTCAGCTCAAGAAAATAATTCACGAATAGAAACTATACTTCCAATTTTACCAAATAAAAATGTCCAGACACTGATGAGGCCACTGCCACTGTACCTGGCACCAGAGAACAAGATTTCAAGCTACTCTCAGCAATGACTGTCCAGGCCAGAGCAGAACAACTTGTTCTGTCCACACATCTTAGAGTTCTGGGACAGGGAGGACCAGAAAGGAAAACCGGTTCCTCCCAAGGCTTTCAGACTATACATGGGAGAGGTCTGTTTCTCCAGCAAGCCTTCTTCAATTCTGAGTCTGGCTTAGGCATTCTTCCCATATGGTCCCGAGTGCTTCCCTTCAGAGGGTCCTGTTAAACTGAGCATAAAACTTTTAGGGGGGGAGATACCTATCAGATAGTTGAGCTGAGTGATCATTGAACCCATGGCACCATTTTCTATAAGTGCATTGTTCGAAGCTTAGTATATCAAAGTGGTGCGGGTGGGAGGAGTCTCTTCTAGGAACACCAAAAAGCAACCAAGTGACTGGCAGTATAGCAACTATGGGTCCAAATGATCCTTTCTTCCAGGGAGGCAGAATAAAGGCCAAGAACCATTGCTGCTGAACATATCCCGTCTTGGTTTGCTATTGCAGGTTTCTCGCTAGAGGAACACCTCATTAGACTACACTTCGCTTTACTGCGTTTCCATCAACACTGAGCCAAGATCCTCTACCAGCAGAAAGATTACGACTCCCTGAAGGCTCATATTTTTTAGCAATGAAGTATTTTTACTTAAATTATATGTATATATTTTTTAGACACAATGCTATTGCACACTTAATAGACTACAGTATAGTATAAACATAACTTTTATATGCACTGGGAAACTAAAAAATTTGCATAACTCACTTTATTGCCATATTTGCTTTATTCTGGTGGCCTGGAACCAAACCAGTAAGAAAACTTGTATTAGAACACAACAAAAGCCAAATCTACAAAGGAAAAATATTGCCTCCAAGTGCTGCAATGAAAACAGGGAATCTCACTGCCACCTAACACTTTAAACTGTCACATTCAAAAAGAAACATAAGCAACTCCCTTCAGTCCAAAGAATAGGTTGCATCACCCACACTCCAACTACTTAGCCCCAGACCATGACCTAAACAGCCGGGCAGATAAACTCCAGGAGTTCCTGACCTCGCTGGCCTTCTTTGAGAAACTGTAAAGGCTAGGCTTCAGAAAAACCAAAAGGAGGAGAGATTTCTGAAAGAGACTTCAGAACACAACCCATGTTTGAGACATCCTTCACAAGGAGAAGCCTCAGTCCTGGGAGCGAAGCACTGGACCATCGTCAGTACCTGGGCTATAACAAAGCTCCCCTTACTTTCACTGCTCCAGCGGCCTCTTCCAGTTCCAGAGCATTTGCTTTGCTGGTTCCATCTTTCTGTCCTCACTCTTCCTTCCAGGCCCAGTTTAAATATCATCTCCGGATTCTTCCAGCCAAGATCGATTGTTCCCTCTTCTGATCTCAGTCTGCAGTCTCTCACACTCATTTGGCTTTAACATATAGCCACATATTGTTCTCCTTTTCTGTTTTTCTTTTCCTCCCTCTCTGAGGGCTGGGAACCAACTTATCTTCTCTGTCTCTCCCTTAACCTAGTGAATTTAACACAAAGTGCTAAGCTGACCTACAGATCGCACACCTTCACGTCTGAATCAGGGCAGTGGGTCTTCTCCCTAGGTGTGTTGTTCCCTATCACAAAAGATCTGGCCTAAGCTGGAAAAATAACTTCTCTTTGGAGCCCTCCCACCAGTGATTTGGCCTGGTCCACCCTTCCCTCCCATTATGTAGTTTGTCCTATCAGCTCAGAAGAGTTTAGAGCCAGCCTTCCTCCCTAAGACCACAGCAGCTGTTAGCAGCTTTTTTCTCATGCCAAGGGCCCTCAGTTAAGAAGTCAGACTCAAAGCAGCCACATTCATCAACATCCAGACATTCTGTACCCAGAGTCAATGCCAAAGAAAACCCCGATCAGTACTTCCCCATTTAAAACTTTCACGGGCCTGAAATGAAGACAAGAAAATAACCAAGTTCTTAGGCCAAAGAAACCTCTATTTGGGATAGAGGTTGAGAATTGGTTCTGAAAGAGCAGGTATTTAATAACTTGATCTATTTGTTCATTTAGGGAGCCCAAGGAGCTGTCGTGCTCCACTTATACATTTAACTAACATACTCTTTCCTAACAGCCTGGTGCTGCTCAAGGTACAAAGGATAGGGCTGTGACCCAGAGAGATACCTCTCACACAGCTTACAGTCTGGTAGAAAAGAGAAACTAGTAAATAGACACCTGTGGGGTACCCTGAAGCCAAACCCACACTTAGAGTAATGCGTTAAAAATGAGGATTTTTACAACTAAAGGACAGCATTTCAGCCAGAGATAACATAATGTAACAGACACCTAAGCCTAGAAAGAACTTGGTCAAATCCAAGAACTAAAAAAGGTTCACTATATGGTTCAAGGCACAGCATAGTGGAGATGGATGAACTAGAGTAAAAAAGAGGGCAGGTCATGAAGGGGCTTACAAATCCTGTTTGAGCTTGGAAGAGCAATGGGAATCCATCCACTCTAAGGGTAGAAACAAGATGTGGGGAGGGGTCTGGTGACGTGATCAGATTTGTGTTTTAAGATCATTACTCTGGCTTTCCAGTATACAACAAACTACAGAGGATCAAGAAAGGATGCAGGGAACCAATCGGGACGCTACTTGAGGTAGTCCAGGGGAGAGATGAACGCTGACTGAACTTGCTTGGAGCAGAGTTTAGGAGTGGAAAAGTGGATGTATACAAGAGAGATCTGTGATGGATTCGATGTGGGTGGGAAAAGGAGGGCAGGAGGTGAGATCGACGCCCAGGTTCTGGCTTGGGCCCTGAGTAGATGGCGCTGCTATGCTCAGGTAGGGAGGAAATACAAGAGAAAAGTTAGCTTCCCACTCTCTAGGCAAAGCTTTGCCAAGCTCGCCCCGCCAGACACGACCAGTTTGTGGTCTCCTCTAGGGTGAGACAGGGGTCAGGGACGGGGGTACCAGCGGCAGACGGAGTGACGCCCCACCACCAGTCCTCCCGGAGGGCGGAGCTCTGGCTGGCCGGGCCCAACTGGCTTCAAAGCCCTCGGAGGCTTCTGCCCCGGGAGAAAGGCTCTGCTCCTGGCCGGCTAAGGTTCCCGAGGCAGCTCGGGGGCCGAGACCCCCACCTAGACCGCTCCTGCCTCTCAACCCGAGCTCGAGGCCCCGAGCCCCCAGAAGGGCGAAGAGATCGCCGTCTGCCACGGACCCCTGAGCGCCGCCGCCTGGACCTCCACCCCCAGGGTCGGGCTCGGGCCTCCCCAGCCGCAGCCTGCGCCTGCGCTGCTTCCGGGTTCACTCACCCTCGCTGGCCGAAACTGCTAAGCCGCCTTCCCCAGACGCGAAGCCTTCCAGTGTCGCTCTCGCAAGCCCGCGACCCCCGCTTTTCCCAGCCCCGCCCCTCCCCGCCCCGCCGTGCGCACGCGCACTTTCTGCCCGCCCATTGGCGCCACGAGACCCCGCCCCTGTTCGGCGCCCGGCAGTGTGTACGGCTCCAGTGATTCCACGTGTAACGGGCTCCGGCCCAACAAGGGCTGGGCACACAGTTCTCCTGCTTGTCTTCCCGAAGGTGACACTCGGTTCCAGCCTGGGTCGGACCACCTGAACCCCCAGGGGCCCTGACGGTTGCTAGGCAACCCCGGAAACCCCCGCTAACGGAGTCCGGCCTGGTACGTAGGCTTGCGAAAACGGTTTGGGCGGAAGACAAAGCTAGCTTCCAGCTCCGCCTCCGTCTCCACTTTTACTGGTGTCGCGGTTTCTCCAACGGCAAATTGGAAAGAATGATAATAGGAATCTTAATTCCTGTCCTAATGAAACCACTAGAAGACGCTGGAGCCGGCCCTCAATCCCATGATTCTGATCGGCCTATTTCCAGATTCTGCTTTCTTGGTTCCACAAGCGGTATCATCTGCAATACACTTGTGGAGGAGTCCCACCAAGACTTACTTTATGGGTGGCCCAGTTCAAACACCACCTTACCTGTGCAGTTCGTGAAACCAGCTGCTATCTCAATAGACGGCAAGCATTTTATAAAACAAAAACAGAAAACAGGCCCATGAACCTGCCCTTATACCTTTCCTGCTGTACAAGATTGTCGTGCAGTTTGTTGACCATACGGGTAAATGAATGTAGAGCTGTCATTTTTTAAATTTCATCTCCCATTTGTCTCCATAAAGATATATAATCATTTTTCATATGAGCCTGGATCCAAAGAGGGAGACAGGGGAAAAAAAAAATGGTTAAGTAAGGAGATGGTGTCAGAACTCTACCTGTAGTCAGCTTTAGCAGATCAATGTCTTGAAAGTTAGACAAGACAAATGCCATTACGGTGACTCATTCCTTCTCTCTCCTTCACCTGAGTTTGAAATCTGTCAACCCTATCCCAGAGAAAAGTCCCAGGATCCCAAAGTCCCCGAATAAACCCTATTAATTCAAGATTCCAGCCTTGCATCTGCCATCCATCCATTCTTCCATTTGCTCATTTATTCAAGAATTCAGTAATACTTCTCGAGTATCTCCTATGTCCTGGGCACTGTGCTAAGAGTTACTAGAGATACAAATACAAATAAGACATCAAGAAGCTCAGTGTCTGACAGATGGAGAAAAATAATCTGTTTAACCAATGCTTCCACTTTTTCTGTAGATCTTATCCTTTTCTCTCTTAAATCACCAAATTGCTCTCTCTCTCTCTAATAAACCCTATCATCATGTAACCTTGCCCTCTGGTTTCTTCTCCCCCAAACTACTGAAACTGCCATCTCCATGCAAATCCAGCAGCACCTTTTCATTCTGTTTTTACTTGCCCTCTCAGTATTATTCATCACAGCCAACTACTCACTTTGAAACACTTTCTTCTGTTTCTGACACCATGCACTCCTCCTACCTCATGGCTATTCTTTCTTGGATTCTTTTCACTGACTTCTCATCTTCTGCTCAAACTATAAATGTCAAAGTGCCCAGGGTTCCATCCTGAGTCCCCTTCTCTTCCTATGCACTCTCCTTATATTTCATCTAGTCTATGGTTTTAGGTGTCATTTATAAGCAGATGACTCCAAAATTTATCTCTCTCATAATAACCTCTACCTGTAAGTCCTGACTCCCCTACATAACTGCCTACTTGACATCTCCACATGAAAGTCTAACTGGCATCTCAAACTTGATTTGGTCTCCCAAAATACTAAGTTTCACCCCTAAATGTATACTTCTCTGTTTTGTCCATATTAGTGAAAGTCACTGCCATCCATTTTAGTTGTTCAAGCCAAAATTCTGAGAATTATTTTCCCCTCTTGAGCTTTATTGAGGTATAACTGACATCCAAGAACCCATCCTCTGCTACTTGGACTACTGTAAGAGATTCCTAAACAACCTCCCTGCTTCCATTCTTGCCCCATTCTCATCCATGAGTGAGATGATACATTTGTTTAAGCCATTTATAGTTGCATATTCTATAACTTGTAGCTGAACCCATTCCTAACAGGCAAATAAATCATTTGGTACCAGAAATAGGACAGTAAAAACAGACACTAAAATGTGTAATTGGCTAACTAAAGGTTAAGGTAGCCAGTGGTGAAGATTCTATTCCAAATTGGAAAGTTGGTGACCAACCTGATAAGCAGTACTGAAACCATCTACCTGTTGTCACTTACTGGACTTGGATACAAACCACATGCCGACCAAAGTTGTGTTATAGGAGAAATCTCAGGAACAATATAGAACATTAGTGTATGTTTTTTGTTTGTTTTGTTTTTAGTAGACTTTAGTCAGTGGTGAAGATTCTATTCCAAATTGGAAAGTTGGTGACCAACCTGATAAGCAGTACTGAAACCATCTACCTGTTGTCACTTACTGGACTTGGATACAAACCACATGCCGACCAAAGTTGTGTTATAGGAGAAATCTCAGGAACAATATAGAACATTAGTGTATGTTTTTTGTTTGTTTTGTTTTTAGTAGACTCCAGCAAAGTCCTTCAAGAGAGTGGCAAATCTAGATTAGAGATAACTGATTTGAAAGCAGAGATCAAATAAGGCCTTAGTAAAAGAGGAACTCCTTACCTACAGCTTACAATCTAAATTGTCGGAGCCTCACAAGTTGGAGCTTTGCTGGGCTGAAAATAAACAATTTTTTTTGTATACCCAAGCTGAAGCCAGCACACATGGAGACAGGGAGAAGGCACTTTATCAGGAAATAAGATGAGGCCCTATGAGTGGCATCTTTACCTGCAGCTGTTGTTTCAAATTCCCTTAATTGCCATTGAACACACAAAGGCCAACCTCCAGAAAACTTAAATATTCTAATACTTGGTGGTAGGCCAGTTTGCATTTTCAACCCCCTTCTCTCTTGTCTGTCTCCACAATAAAGGCTAAAAAATGTTCATCTCTTTTGCAGCTAGATGGCCATGTGACTCAATTCTGGGCAATGAAACAAGGGGAACTTGGGAAATCTTTTGCTTTTCTGATAAAAGAGACAAAGTGACTGGTGCAGACATTTCCCCTTTTTCCAGCCCTGAATGGGGGATGTACCACCTCAGCTGTCATCCTCAACGATGAAGAGAAGTGGGGGAGTTTCAGAAAGGCTGCCCCAGTGCCCTGGGGCTGCTGAACAAGCACCTGCTTACCTCCAGATATCCTGTTTTGTGAGGAGGACTCCTATTTGTTTAAGCCACTCAAAAAACAGTTACTTGTAGTCCAAAGCATTTCTAAGTGATACAGAGGTCAAGCAGGTATGCACTCAAATGTGAATTGAAATTTATCAGTGTGAGGTCACGGGGGGCTCAAAGGGCAGTTTATGTGGAGTACTGGGCAGCAGGTCGATAAGCCCTGAGTATAGCAAGTATGAGCAAGTCTTTCAAGCACTGGCTGTGAAGGGAAAGGAAAGTAGCTAGAGGGGACACAGGATCCAGGAAAAGTTGTCTTTAAGATGGAGGACCTTGCGTACGTTTAAATCCTTTGGGGAATGAACCAGTAACAATGAGATTGAAGAAGCCGTAGAGTGGACAAAACTGAAAGAATAAGGTTATTGAGGAGACAGGAGAGATGCAAAAGACACAAAGCCCAGATGGGGTTTAGCTTGAAATTTGGGAGGCATGACTATTTTCTGAGAGTGTCATGATTGGGGAGGGGCAGGGAGATTGAGTGGGTCAAAGTTTGAAATCATCATTGTGTAACTGGGAAAGCAAGCTGCCTAGGGGAAAGAGAAGACTCTGCCCTGTGTTGAAATTAGAGATTGTTCATTTATACGGTACAGTCTACATAATAATTTGATTATATACAATGGTTAATGTACATTTCTAGAGTTTTAAAAGTTTCTGCATCTAAATTACACAGGAACATGGCTAGAAAAAATAGAACAGAAAGTTGTTTAATAAAAAACCAAGTTCCTCTCTCTTAATCATCAGCTCTCACCCCTCTTGCTAGCTGTGTTTAGGACCACACCAGGGATGGATCAGAGAGTGGTAAGGGCATAAGTAAGTTCTGACTTGACTCACACAAAAGGTTGGCTCTTCCTCCTCTCCTCTCCATTGAACTAACATTTAATGTTGATTCACTCGCAGTACTTTTGTGTGGCTCCCCTGTTGGAGTCCTCACCGCAGTTCCTTTGATATGGCAGCACCTCTTTCTGAAGGCTGCTGGCCCTCTCTCAATATCTGGTTTCTCCTGGCACTCTAGCAGACACTCTCTCGGGTAGAATCTCCTTAAAAAGGATCCGAAGCTGGTTCAAGAGCTCATGAGTTGGGTTGGGTTTAAGCCAGGATAGTGTTCCCACTTTCCTGGGGTGTTTTCCAGGGATCAACAAACCTTCTGGGGCCCAATATGAGACCTAAACAATGGAGAAGCAATACTGAGGGTGATAACCAGGCAGATGGGTTTAAGAGCATCCTCAAGGAGTCCCTTGATCTCCAATGTGGTTCAGTGAAAGGAGGCAAGAACTCCCAAGCCCTCCAAGGGGGCCAGGTATGAGAGCAAAGCACCCCAGATAAGACCCAGTGGTTGAGAATGCAAAGTAGATCTACCTGACAATGAGAGGCCATGGCAGGACTCTGGACATTAGTAGCATGCAGAAAGCAAAGGCTGTGTCTTGTCCTGGGCCTATTTGCCTTCAGAGCCATTCCACACTCTTCCCCTATTGTGTTCTGCATCAGAAGGGGGCTGACTCCAGTGGGTTGCGTTTCCCAGCCTCTCATGACATCTGGCTTCCTGCTTGCTCACCTAATAGAAGTCACCAGCAAGGGATCAAAGGATGGAAGGAAGAAAGAGCCTGCTTCTACTGGCAGGGGAGACTCAAGGAATTTCAGACTGATTGAAATCCACCTAGATTCCCCCATTCTAATTCTCAAGGTCCCATGTTCTTAGTTTATGCCATAACTTTCTCATAAGAGACATGATTTGTTTATAAATTCA